GAGGAGGAGGCGGAGGAGGAGGAGGACGACGACGAGGAGGAGGAGGAGGAGGAGGAGGAGGATGAGGAGAAGGAGGAGGAGGAGGGAGGAGAAGGAGGAGGAGCAAGAGGAGGAGGCGGAGGAGGAGAAGGAGGAGGAGGAGCAGGCGGTACACTGGATTGAAACAAGGGCTCCCACGAGGGCGCGAAGTTATTCGCGCTTCGCGATTCCTCGATCCTTCTACCCCTTCTCGTCCTCCTCTTCTTCCTTTTTTTGTGGGAGGGAGGGGGGGGGCGGCGCGAGGGCGCCAAGTTATTCGCGCTTCGCGGTCCTCGATCCTTCTCCCCCTCCTCCTCGTCTTCCTCTTCTCCCCTTTGGGGGGGCGGCGCGCGAGCGCGAAGTGATTCGCGCTTCGCGGCTCGCGGAACGCGAAACGACCCGCCCTCCATCCGCGAAGCTCTCGCAGCATTTTAAGGCGGATGTGCGCGGCGTTGAAGCGAGAGCCACATGTTGAAACAAGGGCGCCCTCGAGGGCGCGAAGTTATTCGCGGTCCTCGATCCTTCTTCCCCTACTCCTCGTCCTCCTCTTCTCCCCTTCAACCGTTTCGGCCCCGCGCGGGGGGCGCGGGGCGCGCCGCGGCGCGATTCGGAGCGGCATTGCCGCGGCGGGTCACATGGCGAGGTGAAGTCGATGTTGAAGAGGCTGGAGCTGTTCCTCGGCATCGCGCACTTGGGCGAGCGGACGGGCGACCTGCTCGGGCAGTTCGCGCGCGCCTTCGACGAGGGCTCCGGAGCTGCACACGTGGCGCAGGTCGTGATCTGCGATGATGGCGATCAGCAAGGCGAAGTCCATCCAGGCAACGGACGTGGCGGCATGGCGTGCGATCGCCGGGGTGTCGCTGCTGAACTACGGCTTCCACAACGCCCTCATGGAGAAGAACGGCTCGGTGAAGGCGTGCATCCAGGAGGGGAGGAGGCTGGCCCAGTCTTGCCCGCCGCCTCGGATCCCGCGCACTCCGCCTCTGCGGCGGCCGAAGAAGGAGCTGCGCGAGGAGTCGGCGGCGCGCATTGCCCAGGGGGTGAGCTGCATGGTGCCGAAGCTGAGGCAGGCGGCAAGGCCTGGGAAGAAGACGCGGGACCGTCGCAGGAGGCAGAAGATGGTCTCGCTCTCGCTGGAGCTCGGAAGGAAGCTGGCCAGGCGGCTCTTCGAGGCGCGGCGCCGGTTGCGAACGGGGCGAACAAGCTTGAGCCTGCCGCCGGACACGGCGGAGAGCTGAAGGGCGCAGCGGAGCAGTTCTTCATCGGGGGCGCGGAGTTCTCGGTCAAGCAGAGCAGCTTCGCCAAGCAGAAATACAACAAGAAGGGCGGCGGCAAGGCTTGGGGCAACGCGGACTCGGGGCAGCAGGTGAACACGGATATCAGCGGCAAGCTGGCAGGGGGCCCGCCGCCCCCGAAGCTGAGCCAGTTCCAGCCGAAGCTGCAGGAGGAGGAGAATGCGAGCAACCTCAAGGAGGGCGAGAAGGAGTGCAGCAAGAATTTCAAGGAGGCGGTTCTCGAGAGGTCGCTCGAGCTCGTCGCATCTGGCGTCGTCGATGCCTCGTTCGTCGACGGCCTGATGCATGCGCTCCTAGAGTCCATGGATGGCGACTCGGCGTTCGAGAACCAGGCTGCGCTCGGCAGTGGCTGAACGTCGAGTTCGGTCGTTTTTGGACGGCACCTACGTCGTCCAGTTTTGCTTCTTCGGCAAGGTGCGGGGGCTTGCAGCGCACCCGTGTTGTGAGCCTCTCAGGCCTGGGGGCCACGGGTGGGTTTAGCTACCTCTCGGAAGGGTTGGGCCCCTCCCCTCCGCGTCGCCGAGGCCACTCGGGAGGTAGCGAACCCCGCTGTGGTCGGCGTCGTTCGCGGGCCTGGCGCGCCAGGTAGCGGGCGTAGTCCCGAGCAGCCTGTTGACGGGCTGATGTAGTCAGCACCCTCAGCACCCTCTTCTCCCCTTGGGGGGGCGGCGCGAGAGCGCGAAGTCATTCGCGCCTCGCGGGGCGCGAAGCGACCCGCCCTCCATCCGCGAAGCCCTTGCAGCATTTTAAAGCAGATGTGCGCGGCGTTGAAGCGAGAGCCACACAAGGAAACAAGGGCGTCCTCGAGGGCGCGAAGTTATTCACGCTTCGCGGTCCTCGACCCCCCCCCCTACTCCTCGCCCTCCGCTTTCCCCTTTGGGGGGGGGGAGGCGGGCGGCGCGCGACCGCGAAGTTATTCGCGCTTCGCGCCTCGCGGAGCGCGAAACGACCCGCCCTCCATCCGCGAGGCTATTGCAGCATTTTAAGGCGGATGTGCGCGGCGTTGAAGCGAGGTCCACATGTTGAAGCAAGGGCGCCCTCGGGGGCGCGAAGTTATTCGCGCTTCGCGGTCCTCGATCCTTCTCCTCCTCCTCCTCGCCCTCCTCGTTTTCCCGTTTGGGGGGGGGGTGGCGGCGCGAGAGCGCGAAGTGATTCGCGCTTCGCGCCTCGCGGAACGCGAAACGACCCGCCCTCCATCCGCGAAGCTCTCGCAGCATTTTTAGGCGGACGTGTGCGCTGTTGAAGCAAGAGCCACATGTTGAAACAAAGGCGCCCTCGTGGGCGCGAAGTTACTCGCGCCTCGCGAATCGGCCCCGATTCCTCCTCGTCCTCCTCTTCTCCCCTGGGGGGCGGCGTGAGAGCGCGAAGTTATTCGCGCTTCGCGCAGCGCGAAGCGCGAACTTGGGAGCCCTTGCTGCAGCATTTTAAGGCTGATGTGCGCGGTGTTGAAGTGAGAGCAGCATGTTGAAAACCACCCGCCTTCCATCCGTGAGCCTTTTGTGATTTCTAAGCTGTCGGATCGTAGATGGTGTGGGAGTCTTGGGCGAAACGCCCAGCCCGCCTTTTCGACCAGCCTCGGGGGGCAGCAGGGAGCAGGGAGTATATATATATATATATGTATATATATATATATATATACATATCTTAAGAAACTGAACTATTGCAGGCATCGTCGGCCAGCTGCTGGTCCCTTGGCTCCGCCAGGGGCGCTGCTCATGCCGAAGCGGCCCCGCCGCTCCAAACCCCAGAGGGAATGAAAGAGCGGGGAAGGGGAAAAGTCTAGGAGGGAGGGAGGCGGGGGATCCTCTGATTTTCAGGGCCTGCCAATGCTTGGCAGGCAAAAGTGCGCTGCTGAACTGAAGTTTGCGGAAGGGCCTCGTGGGGGCCTCCTAAGGCCTCTCGGGGGCCTCTCAAGGGGGCTTCTATGGGGCCTCGTGGCCTTCGGAAGCCGTCTTGGGGGTCTCCCTGGGCAGTCGTGATCCCCCGCTTGGGCGTTCGAGGGCAGTCTTGGACGTTGTTCTGGCCGTCTTGGGGGCCTCTTGGGCCCTCTTGCGGGCGATCTTTGGGGTGTCTTGGAGCGTCGAAAGATCAAACTGGCGAGGATGCTAATAACTAGCGAGCCTCATTGCATCACCGAAAAGGGAATCAATGATACTGGTTTCCTGTTGTAGGTCCTCTTGGAGCCCTCTTGGGGAGTGTTGGAAGCCTCTTGAGCCGACTGGATGGCATCTTGGGCCGTCTTGGGTTCATGATGGCCTATTTGGATGCGTCTTGGGACCATCTTAGAAGCCATGTTGGGCCATCTTGGAGGCCATCTTGGCCGTCTTTGCGAGATTCGTTGTGGACTTTTCGGTCTGTGTTTTGCTTTGTGGATGGATGGCGGAATCGACCTGGGCCCCAGTAGCAGCCCGTTGGAAGAGCCAACTCATTGAGACATTCGGCACGCCAGCCACCCTTTTGATGAATGGAAAAAGGATTGGCGGATCGAGGACGCCCGCGGCGAATCGCCGCCGCCCCTGCCTTTTGGAAGAGCCTATGTGGCCGAACGATGTGCCGAAAACTCGGCCAGCTTGTCGGATTACGTGTTCCCCCAGCCGTTGGACATTTTTCGGAGAACGCGAGGGGGAGAAATAAGCGTAACATTAACAAGAATCGTGCGAAGAAGAATAGTACCAGTAATTATGACATTAACGATAACATTAATACTACGAATAACCATAGTCACAATACTAATACGAATAATGCTAGTAATACTACGAAGCACAAGAAAGAGAGGAGAGGGAGGCAAAAGGAGGAGGAGGCCTCTTGGGAGTATAATGGGGCTCTTTTGCGGCCTTCCGGGAGCTTCCTGGGGGGCTCTTGGATGCCTCTTGGGGGCTTCCTTTGGCCTTTTGGGGGCCTTTGGAGGCTCCTTGGTTGGCTCTTGTCTTGCTGGCCTCTCTGGGCCGACCTGGCGCGCGTCGGGGCCGTCCTGGAGACCATCCTAGGCGTCTTGGAATTCTCCTGGGCCGTCTTGAGGCCCTCTTGTGGCCTTCTAGGGGGCCGCTTGGGCCGTCAGGGGGCCATTTCGGATGCCTCTTGGGCGCTCTTGCGGTCATCTTGGTGGCTTCTGGAAAGCCGAAAAGGAGCAAACGCTAGAACCATTAAAAACAATCGACGGGCAGTCCATGATTTGGGCATCTTCGGGCCTGCTTAGAGGTCCTTTTGGAGGCCTCTTGGGCCGTCTTGGAGGCCTCTTGAGGCCGTCTTGTGGGCCTCTTGGGCCGTCTTTGGCGATTTTGAGGTCACCTGGGGGGCATCTCGGCCCGTCTTGGAGGCCTCTTGGGCCGTCTTGGGCTATTTTGAGGCCAGTATTGGGGACATTTTGGGGACCGTCTTGGAGGCCACCTCGTTCCATCGCGGCCGTCTTTGAGGCGTCCCAGCGGCCATCTTGGGCCATCTGGACCGTCCTTGGGATTTACGCGGCTCTCCGGGCGGCCGGCGGGTTGGGCCAAACTTTTAAAGAGGACCAATAATTACCTGAAACTTGGCACGCCGTGCACCCCTCTGGCAAGCCATCAGGGGATGGCTGATCTACAGTCGGTGGCCTTCGGCCCATCCCTTCCGTGCCCTAGGCCGTGGGCCAGATGCCTCTTGAATGCGCACAAAGCTCGCTTGGGCTGCCTCTCGGAGGCCTCGTGAAAGGGCTCTTGGGGCCTCTTTGGGCCTCCTGGGGGCTTCTCTGGGGCCTCTGTGGGGCATCTCCTTGAGCAGAAGTCGCGACATGCCAGTTCGTGTGCCCCGTCTTGGGCTTCTTGGCCTCTTGGGACCCCCATCGGGCAGTCTTTGGGCCCCCTTAGGCCTTCTTGGGGCCCTATTTGGGGCTCCTTGGGCAGTCTTTGTGGCGATCTTTGGGGCCCCTTGGGCCGCCTTGGAGCACGAGGAGATGCTAAAACTTTTCGAACACCTTAGGTGCAACCGTGTTTTTTGCGTCTTAGGGCCCTGGAGCCCAGGAATGGGACGGACGAGCGGGAGGAGCCCGTGTTACTCGGGAGGGGGGGGGCCACCTTCCCTCCAGCCTCCGACCCTCCTATGAGGAAGGAATAGAGGGAAGGGGCTTCCACTGTACGAGATGATCTGGTTTTGTATGTAAGTGGCGGGTGCATTGTGTGGGATGGGCGGATTCTGCGAGGGCTTCGCTCGACAAGCCCCGACAGGCCGCTCACACACGCTGACGGCGTCGGCGGATTTGCCTCTGGGTGCCGAGTGAGCGGTCCCGCCTGTCTGCTGTTAAAGGTTCAGGTGTGCAGTCGAGTATCTGATTGAGAAACCTCCTCCCGAAAAGCTGGGCCAGCGATTCTCGACCAACTTGCTGGAAATATGACCCAGTTTCTTGAGCACGTTCGCCCCTCCAGCGTTAACAACAGAAAATGGCACAGGCTTGCTTCAAGAAACCAATGGGAAGCTGGCCCAGTTCGTCTGTAGTGCGCACTTCGTTGCTCCTGGGCCCTGCTGGATGGCTCATTGAGAGCCTCGGGTTCGCCTCCTTCACGCGTCCGGGTCTTTCCGCCGCCGACGGGGATCGCCTCCGCAGTACGCACCACGGACTTATCTTTTGTACATAGGGTTCTCCTCATTCTTCTTCACTCCTCATTCTTTCCAGAACAGGATGGGTTACCGATACCGGTACCCTTCCCTCGTTTCTCTCTTTCTGGGCCTCTTGGGCGGCCCTCGTCACCACCGCTGGATGCGCTTCAAAATCCTGGTCAGAACGCACTGGGGGAGGTCCGGGGAGTTGCGGTGTTGGCAGATATCCCCATGCTTCTCCTCTTGCTCCTGGTTGCGAGGAGGGGTGTCGTCGCCCCATGGCGTGGACCGGTGATCTGCCAAGAGATTCCCTCCGTGCTGCCGCGAGTGCGGTGCGGAGCGGCAGCCGCGAGCAGGCACCTCCGCGTCTTCACGATTCGATATGGTTGAAATTGTTTAGATCGGAGGTTGATAAACCTCCTACCCTGACACGTCGATTAGCGAATTTGCTGTTTTCGGTTCGCGAGAGGGCGTCGCGGCCGTCATTTTTGCGGGTCCAGGTCCGTCGGTTTCGGTCCCAGGCCGTTTTCACTAAAGGGTGGTTTACTAAACAGAGGTTTGTCCACCGCCGATCAGAGCTCCAGCCAACAAGTGAGCCCCGTGCCGACCAGGCAGTCGCGTCGAAATCAGGGGGTGGACGCACAGGCGGGTCTCATCAGTCTGCAGCGATGCTGGCTGCCACTGTGAGGCGGCCTCGACTTCTGCCGGCTGCCGCTTCGCGACAGTGCCTGCTCATGTTCATTCTGTTCCCGTCTCCTCTCCATCCTTCTCATTCTTCTCGCAGGCC